CCTTTTAGTTCAATAGAGAAATAAACTTGGAAACTGGGCAGATTCATACTGCATATCTAAATAGTGAACTTGGTCATTGCTTGCCTTAACTGTGAAGGTAGCACACTTTATATAGAGACAAAGCAGATTGTGGTAGACTTATTTCATATGTTTCCTTAAGCCCCTGATTAATCTATGCCAGTAATTCATGTACTATAGTGTGTTGCACAAAATGAATATTAGGTTCCAGAATTAAGGACTGGTAGTTGTGGCTTTTGCTCTGTATGCAATGAAATATTTTCAGTCTCTTCTAATTCTGTAGCTCAGAAGAATTTTCTGCCCTCAGAGATAGGTGGTTGGGTGGATGATTCTACTAGTCATAACTTTTCTAGTCAAGAAGCATGCTCCGAACAGAATTATGAAGAGTGGATAGACTTCCTTCTTTGCCCAAACTAAGGATATGAGACGCAAGTGTATATTTTGGGGGGAAGTAGTTTAATCCACGAAATCTTTTAAGGTCTTAAAAATTATTTTATAAATAATTATGTTGTATTGATTGCACGAATTATGTCATCAAGTCATTTTCAACTTGAATTGTTGGTATCAATTACCATTCCTTTGTTCTTGTTTCAGTAACTTAAACCATTCTTTATTGTTTTGTTATAGAGAGCAGCTTATGCTGTCAGAGAAGCCTGCTAGTCCCAAGTTCATAGTCACTTTGGATGGAGTCCCCAGCCCTCCTGGGTACTTATCCGATCAAGAGGAGGAAGAACTGAATCTTATGGAGGGAGTTAGGCCTATTCCATCCAAACCTACAGGCAGCAAGGGATTAAGAAACCTTCGCACACAACAGATGCACATTATATCCAGACAGCTGGACAGCACAGATGGTAACACTCTCATCCTCATTGATAAGGTCTTTATGGTAACTTGATTGCAAAATATCCTTGGGCAATTGAAAATTAAACTAGAGGCAGGAATGCAAAGACTAATATCTAAGCCAAATTTCTTAGGATATATTATTTTTTTACAGAATGTTTTAAGTTTAAAAGAACATAGATTTCATTTATCTACTCTGCCTGATTGTAATTAGGACTCCATGCACTATGGCACATGGAGAAAGAGAGGATGACCTTCCCTTGCTGAAGGGAGATTGAAAGCCTAAGGCCAGTCTCTGCTTCTATACTCCTTATCTCAAGAATTAAGTAGCAGGATCTTGTTATTGCCTAGGTTCTGGCTGTTTTTGAGATCTAATACATCTCTTCTCATCCTCAACCTCATTGAGGATGAACGCAAACCTGTTTGTATTACTGAGACCTTCACCAGCAAGGAGGTTGATATAGTCATCTCAGGGTTTTGCCCAGCCAGATTTCAGTGGTTGCATCAGCCACAAATCCATGCTAGAGGAGGAGAAATGGATTGTCATCAGGATTACTCTGCAGATGACAAGATACATTGTCCTGCAGATAACTGGATACGAGGTGCTTTTAGTGAGTTAAGCTTTAGGGAAAAGTTACTGCTTACTGATTTCGCTGCTGTGCATCTTCTTCCCTATCTAGGTTGCTTAACTGCATCATTATTTATTTATTTATTTATTTATTTATTAGACTTATATGCCGCCCTTCTCCCCACAGGACTCAGGGCGGCTCACAGCATATTAAAAACAGTACAAAACATTATCCCCAATAAAAACCAATTAAAAACAAATATTTGCCGCTGTATCTTATTAAAATCATTAAAATTGTCCCTATTTAAAATTCTCCCTAGGCCAGACCCGCTTGCTGAAAAAGCCATGTCTTGAGGGCGCGGCGGAAAGCTAGGAGATCCGGAATCGTCCGGATCTCGGGGGGTAGTTCATTCCAGAGGGTGGGGGCACCCACAGAGAAGGCCCTCCCCCTGGGGGTCGCCAGCCGACATTGC